GGAAATTTATATAAATTAATTATATGAAATAATGAAAAGATCTCTTTTTTTTATTAATAAAACAGCTTTTTTATACGTTAAGCTAAATTTAGAAAAATTATCATTTGTGTGCGGTAAAATTAAATTCATTTGTACATTAAAATAAAATATATGAATCTCTTTTCGTGTGAAGAAATCGATACGACGTTCCCATTCATTGAAACCGAAAGAATTAATGAAAACCGCTAGCGTTTTCTGAGGACAAAGATAGAAGCCACCACATTGCGTGGGTGCGTTATTTCAGGACTCGCATGCGAATCCTGAATCCTAGATCCAGGAATCTCATTGCGTATGTAAGGCAGCCAGTCTGACTTCAAATAAAGACGAATCGTTTCTTGCCGGCAATCGTGATTGGCCTCGGGGGTGCGAAAAGAGGCGAGAGACAATGAGATGAAAAAACAACATCGACGTCCTCACGACGACGCTATTCCGCCATCCCTATAAAACCCCGGGAATCACCACCGTGTCCGACATTATTCTACGAGGGAGGCTCGAGGAAACAACGTATTGCCGAGATGATCGTCATCCGAAATTTTGCCGGCCGTGCAACTATCATCTGTATCCTGACTACGCTGCTCTGCCTGGGCTCTCGCGTTTCCGGTGAATACGGTAATTTTTGTGGCGATTAAAGCACGCAATAATTAAGGTTCCGAGCGTCCCATTGAACTATTCGTGTGTTCGCAGAATCGCGGGAAATAAACTCGAGCGGAAGAGCGAGCGATGGAAAGACGACGGACAACGATTTCCGCTCGTGTGTCGAGAGCAAGTGTATCAAGCGCACGGACATCAACGGCATGTGGTTCGGCCCACGTTTAGGAAAACGACACAGGACGACGCAAAACGAGAGAGAGGAAACGAATCCTGAGGTCGAAGCCTTGACGAATGTGTTGGACGGCGTGCGTTGGGCGGTCGTCACGATTCCAGCAGGTAAGACTGCAGATCTTTTTGGAGCAAATCATTAGGCATCATTAAGATTAAGGTCTTTTTTATATGTAAACTGAAATGATTACTTGTGAGAATAGAATATTCCAATTTAACAATCGTTAACTTAAATCGATCCATAAATTTCAATATTTGTTCTGTGTAATCTCCAATTACCCTCGCGTAATTTTAATCGTCACGAATAAATCAGTATAATAAATAATAATTTTAGCCAATGACAAAAGACAATCGAGTCAATTTACACCGCGTTTGGGACGAGGATCAGGCGAGGATCTATACTCGTATGGAGATGTGATAGACAGGAGCGAAGTCGACGAGGACGATCGCACGTTGCCGTTGCCGATGTTCGCGCCGCATTTAGGCCGTCGGCTTTGGGGACCGAGACTCGGACGTCAATTACGCAGTGTATTGCGAAAAATGTAGACACGTAGACACTGTATGAAAACTAGAAGATCGTTGAAGAAGTTGAAGAATGAAGTATGATATTGTAGACTTGCGCGATGGTGAGGCTCTCGATGAAACGGCAACCACAATTACAGCACTATTATGTAAGATATAAAGAAATAAAGTATATTTATATTGCGAAGCAATAGCTATTGTTCTGTCTCTCTCTCTCTCT